AGACTTTTCTAATCTTACTGACTGTATTTAGCAGATAGCTATTTCGTGTCATTCCCAAACAATTCTAGTGAAGCTAATTGGCCCCATTTTGATCTCAGTGGATGCATGCACACGAGATGCTAAAAGCACAGTAGACTAATTCTACCTGCTTTACATCACGCATCATGGAGAAAGCCGTGCTAATGCACTGCACATTAGTGCATCACAGTACTGCGCATTAGCACTAATGCACAGTAGAACTAGTCTAATGAGCATTAGTATCATGTAAAAGATGTGTGCTGGTGCCACTGCACAGTAGCACCAATTACAGTAAGTTAGTACCTGTTATTATAGCTACTAAACTTAATGTGCCATTAATGCACATGTAAACTGCCCAATTACAAGCATACTACTACCACTGAGCTCACCCTGAATATCACCCTTACAGCTAAGGAAAGAATTTGGTCTGGTTATTTACTTTGGATTTACCCATGTTCATAACAATAGAATTTGGCCTTGTATGAAGACTGTTCCCATTATTTATTTGTTTGGGAGCAGAATCTGCAGTGAAAACCTTTCACTATTTTTATTGCAGAAAAAGGAAACACAGGTTCCCCTTCAGCCTGTTCACAGGGACAGAGAATAGTGAATTTCAGCAGAGGCCTACCAAAAAGTCTGGAAGAGCAAAAAGAAAATATCTGGCTCATAGATGGCTTGGTATGCAGTGAAGCTCATTAAAAACAATTTGATTTCAGCTTGTGCTAGCTAGCCAGATTCTGAAGCAGAATGGTAACACATGGAGAGTGATAATTCATGCCATGAACTCTGTTTGGAAAATGAATTGCAGAATTACCTGTATACACATGGTATGTTCACAAGCATAGCGAAAGCTAGACAGGCAAATTAATTGGAATATTGTATATGAGCTGGTGGGTATGTGAGCGAAAGAGCAAGAACTTGCGCACCGATTTCTTAGATTTTGCAATTGTGTTTTTCAAGTGACTGGATCCTATATGTCTGTACGCTCTGATACTGGTGCTGTACATTCAGCAAAGATTCTCCTTTGGCTCAGATAGTAAAGGGCTGCATTTGTGGAACAGCAGCTCCTGAGTACTGTCACTCGCTGAAGTTCAGTGAGAATGGTGGAGTGGCACAGTATATCTTGATGATTGAGGGGTGGAGGCACATGCAGTTGTGTATTTGCTATAATACCCAAAATAAAAATAGTGGAAATAGAATGTGAGGGGACAACACCATCTCTTTGCTCCTGGAAGAATGACTAGATTTACATGTAGATCTTCACAGCACTTCAGAATAGGAAAATTGCATATACTTCATGTACTATAGAGGGCTGAGCACAGGAGCAATTTACAGCAGAACATAAAGGGTTTTTCTTAGAAGTCTGTGACAGGCAAGGCACAAAAGAAGAAGCAGGCAGTCTGGGGGGCTTATGATGGTACAAATTTCAGCACATACTGATGGATCCTACATTTATAACAACTGCTATTATACATTTGTGTGCTGGATTTATAGATGTCCAGACTGAAAACTTGGTTGTATCAGCTAGTGCTTGCCACCTCCCATTCAGCGATGAGAGTACTTTATGAAAGGGAAGCATGGAGGACTAAAATATCCTGTCTGGTGAGAGCATTTTACAGCAGAATAGGAGGTGGGCAGCAAGGGGCCTTGACCCCTGCAGACAGGATCAGGGTAGGCAGAGACAATGTGGACTTGGCAGTACTGCAGTGTGAAATGTTGTGCATGACATTTTTGAGCAAAAAAAAGCAGATTCAATGACAGGAAAAAAATGTGTAAGAACTCAAAACTGAAATATCTCAAATCTGTTTGAACAATATATTCCCATTGGCCCAAAATGAAAGGATTAAAAAAAATTGTTTCCAACCGGAATTATATTTCCTTCCCTTCCTTCTGAAATGGGTTGACAAATGATTTGTTTGGCTGTTTTTGGCCCAAGTCCAGCTATGGGTAGTGCAGAACCATTTAACTGAAATCCTATTGAAAACCATGCCCTTTCTGTTGTAAAATATTATCCTGCAGCATTTTGGTGCAATCTTAAGCCTGCAAGGAGATGGTGATGCAAAAGAGACAAGGGCTGTTCCTTTTTTTTTACTCTAGGCTGCAAACTTTTATCTAAAACACATTCATATTCTTAAAAGGGAAAAATGACACCTAGATAGCCTTGTGATGTGCGCACTAGGAATGTAGATCCAATAAATGGCTAAATGACAGAGAACAGTAAGGAAAAACATCTCAGGCTCCGATGGTATTGGAGCGTATTCTATGCTGGAAATAGGAAATTAAAAAATGGGGAATTTTGTGGAAGTACTAAAACTGTTCCTCTTGTCTAATCTGGATATGGGTAAAGTTAGAGCAAGGTGCTAATAACATGAAGGTTGCAGGTTTGATCCCTGATTGGACTAGATGATCTCTTGAGGTACCTTCCAGCTTTACTTCTCCATAAAAAAAATGGTTTTGTCCACAAGGAGCTTGGCCTTGGCCAGGTAAGCTGTGCAATACAGCATGGCAGGAGTTAATGCAGTGAAGCATTTGTAGTACTCCCACTGAAACAGGCAAACATGATCAAACCCACATTGCTTGCAGGCATGTTGGAGGAGGTGATCTTTGCTGTTTTTCAGGAGGTACAAATGTTTAAACTTAGTATTTAAAGAAGTACTTTCTCTATGCGTTTCTTTCCAGTACAGGGCTTGAATCCTGGCCCAGTAGTTCCATTTTAATTTCAGAGTTGGCACAAGCTCCACTTCTGTAAGGGCACAAGCTTCTCCATCGGTCCTGAAACAGTGGTGGAAGTCTAAATGGGAGATAATGTGATGTACACTCAGGGTGAAGTTATTACACTTAGACTATACAAAGGACACTTAAAATGTGAGAGTCTGCACATGAAAGCTTGTTAACTTGTGCTAAATGCTCCCTGAGCCTCTCAAATTATGTCAATTCAGGCAAAGGTTAACTCTGGGCTGTGCTACCTAGCAATTTGCATCCTGGATACACTGCTCCCAGCCCCCTCCAGAACTCAAGAGCAGGGATAGAGCTCAGGTGCTCTGGCTCCCAGTCACCCCCTTGCTCATCAGCCCTCTACAGGCAACCCCTGCTTAACACTGTTTCACTTAGCGCTATTTTGCTATAATGCTCACTTGAAATTGATCCCAGATTTCACTTAGTGCTCAGCGAGTTTTGTTATAACGCCCATGGTCGCCATCTTGGGTCATTAAAAACAATTGCGGTTGCCATCTTGAGTCCTCAAATACTTTCCGTTTCGCTTAACACTCATTTTGCTTAACGCTCGGTTTTCCAGGAAAAACCGAGAGGGGGGTGTTGCTTTTTCTGTCCTGCTGTGTTCCTGGCTTTTAGACTCTTAGCTGCATCTGAAAGGAGGCAACATGGCTCCCTGATCTAACAATCCTACACTGGCAGTCTATCACTGCTGGTCTCACAGGGGTTGCATGGTCGTCCCTTTTCTCTGTAGTCAAGTAGGTCAAAGTCTTAGCTCAGCACCCTCCTGAATGTGGGAAAGTTCAGATCTGGATGGTTAATGGTAGTACAGGGAAGTTGGAACCCTGTAACCCAGAGCAGGACTTGGACAGTGCCATGAGCACTGCACAGGAGGGGGGAGGTTGGGGTGCTGGTGGGAAGAAGGGTGCAGCTAAGAGAATTTAATTTGTCCCAGGACACATCAGTGTCAGAATTTAGGCTCTTACGACT